TCTATCCTCGTGCTTTCCTGGTGTCTTCCTCTTGTAAGAACGTTTTCACCTTGGAGTCTGCATTCTCCTAAGAAGTGGCCAGAAAGGAAAGCAACAGAAACCCATGGGCTGGGTGCTGTGCTGGGGTTCCTGTTATTCCATTTAATCTTTACAACATCACTAGAAGTAGCCATTAGTGCCTCCACTGTACTCATGAGAAATGAGAGGCTCCTTTCAGCTAGTAACAGATGCATGCAGCACTAAAACCCAAGACCGTAGAGGTTTCTTTTCCAAATATGCCACATTTATTTTTATAAGTTCCTAAACCTTGGAGATTTTTCAAGTTTGTCACTTTGCTTTAAAACACAGTGAATATGGTTATTATGTACCCTGTATGACAATTCTAATAACTTGAATGCTTTGTGAGTTTGTTTCTATTATCTGTGGATTCTGGTGGTTTCTGTTTTTTGTGTCATCATTTTTCTATGCCTGTCTGGTTATATTTGATTATATGCTAATGATTCTACTTAAAAATGGGGATTTAGAATACAGGTAACTCCCTTCAAAAAGCATTTCGATGTATATCTGCCAGGCACCTGGGAGACTACCAGTCTAGCATCACTTCAATCCAAGATCCAGACCTGACATTTGCTAAACTACTGGGTGACTCAAGATGCCCCAGTGACCAGTTTGTTTCTGGCGCACTCTCACCATCACCCTGAAGGTGTAGTCTTTTGGGTTCTTAGTTTTCTCAATGAGGGTCTCATACTAGATTTCCCACCTGCTGTGACTCTGGGTTTTGACATCTACCCTCTTTCCAGAAGACAGAAAAAGATTTAGATATCCTAAGATTGGAAAATTACACCAGGCAAAGGTAGTTGACATGCCTAACAATCTCAATTTCCACCTTGAGATTCAATTTCAGTTTTCCATTGTTTTGAAGATTTATGTAAAAATTGTATTTAGCATTTCTTACTTGTTTTCATTAGCCATTACTTGAAATCTAGAGGGCTATGTTTTTCCTTTGCACTCATTGCTGGGGCTGTATTGCTCCCATTTTCTCTTCTGTGAGTCTCCTGCCTTTTTCTCTGTTCAGAAACTTCCCACTGGTTCTTGTCATGGCATGTTGGGTCTGTGGATTAGTGGTTTGTTTAATAGTATGATAGTTTTGCCATATCCATGGGTCTCATATAAGTACTAGGCCATCCTGAAAACAAAAGCTATCTCTATCTCTGTTTACAATTTGTGGGAAAATAAATCCTATCAATGCCGAGCTATTTCTAGACTCTTATAATGTGACAAACACAGGCACAATTATGATGTTTCTTAAACTAGTAACTTGAGAAGGTTCTACCCAGTACCATAAAATAAAGAGTTTCCAAAATAAGTGTATGATTGTGTGTGTCAGTGTACACACATCTAGGTAGTAAAGAATTTAACTTTTATTTACTACACACATATGTTTGGTACTTGCTATCAACTTCTGGGAGGTAATATATGCCATACTTGATAAAAATGTTTTTGTTTAGGGTGGGGGCTGTTCATGCCAGAAAGACCAACAATGGGATTTTGGGTGGAAGTTTTGGATCACCTGATTTTAGTTGACCAGGAAACTGAGTTCAGCCACATGAGCATTCAGTAAACCAACCATGCCTTTGTAATAAAGCTCCCAATAAAAACTCTGGACACTGAAGCTCAGATGGCTTCCCTGGTTGGCAATAATCTGTATGTATTGTCGACATTGGTACCAAGAGGGCAATATGTCGTGATTCCTATGGGAAAGGATAATGGAAACTTCATGTTTGGAATCCCTCAGATCCTGCCCTATGTATCTCTTCCTTTGGCTGATGCTAATCTCTATTGTTTCCTGTAATAAATTATAACTATGAGTAGAACAGCTTTCAGTGAGTCCTGTGAGAACTTCTAACAAATTTCCAAAACTGAGGGTGGTTTTGGGAACCCCTGGAACTTGCAGTTGTCATCAGAAGTGAGGGAAGTCTTATGGCTGAGGTTGTGCCCTCAACCCTTTCAGTCTGTCTATCTGTGCATGTGTGTGTATGCATGTTTGTGTGTACATATGTAGCACAGTGCTAGTATGCAGTTCTTATAATTAGAATGGGCTGACCAAAGCTGTAACACATTAGCAAGGTTTGGTTACTTTTCTTCTTGCATTTTTGCCTCCAACCTGAGGACAATGAGATCCTTTCCACTGGCCTTGTACTCCAAAACAAACTCTGACTTTGTGATGGGTGTAATTTTTATCCTGATGTGCTTTGTACCTACCCAGAGTTCCTGTCAGTCTGAGTTTACTTTTCCTCCAACACTGGTTAAAGAAAGAAAGTGAACTCACAGAAGTGTTTTTTTTCCCTGCCAAGATTTGGGACCTCATAAATCATGGTGACAAGAAATAGGATAATGGTCTCTTTCCGTTCTTGAGGAGATCGGAAGAGTAGGGGTGTGCAGGTTCCAGTGTGGTTTTGTAATTTTTCCCAGTGGTGGCACAGTGAGAAGGATTCCAGCAGGCTAGTTCCTCAGCCCTAACTAGGTAATTCTCTACTTGAATGTTCCTGCAATGAAAACGCACAGATATCCACCAGTGTCACTCGGGCGGTTTAGTGCCTGCTGCGGAACTCCTGGCAGTTAACAATGAAATTGTCAGGATTTCCTTTTTGTTCCTTTCCAAGCAGGCAGGGCATCATTTTTATCCCCTGGTTTAGCACATGAATCAATCCTTTTATACGTGATCAGTGGGACCATGTGTAGCTTTATACCTGGCAGACTTTCTTGTTGGGCAATAGTTCTGCAAATGAGAAAGAAAATATGCAGATTCTTACATGTCCCCAGATGGAATCACAAGGCAAAAAAGATTGATGTATTTTTGGCTTGGTATTTGGCTTTGGTCATTTTGATCTCTTGGAGATATATGCCATTCAGTACTTAATTGTTTTAAATAAATTATTAAAAACCTGATATTTTCTAGATTATAACTGACAGAGGGGGAAGGAAGGACATGTGGCAAATGTGGACAGGTAGGAGAAGAAGGAGTATCTAGTAAATGTTTTTATTCCTGCACAGCTTAATGTGCTTGAATGCTATATTTTTTATTTTCCAGCAATACTGTATTTACCAAGAGCCAATCCAGCTTGGCTTAATTCCTGCCTCAAGGCCATTTATAAGGCACTCTCCAAGCAAAGCTCTTTGCATGCCTCCATGCACAAATGGAGAGGGGTTATGTGTCAATTAACCTGTCAGGGAGCTTTTGTCTATGGAGTATCCACAGTCAAAAAAAATTCCAAGAATATTTGAAGACCAACACATGTGTAATAGAATATGAGTGTAGTGTTTCTAAGAGACCTGAAAAATATGGATTGACACCAAAGAAAAAATTAAAAGACAGATCTTGCTTTGCTGAATGTTTAGCTAGAGAAGTCATTTTGGTTGAAAGCAATCACCAACACAATTAAAATTTGATTTATTATATAAATGTTCATTTTCACCCAGAAATGCATTCATCTTGTAAAGCAAACCTGCTTTTTCATTTAATTTCTGCACTGAGAAATGAATATTAGTGCATTCCATATATTGGATTTATTTATTCTGGAGCTAAAAAAGAAAATGCCCAATACAAAGACACACATGACCTCAGAATTTTGACAAACATAAATTACTGATAAAAAGTGAGCTTAATTCCCTGACTAAAGTGATAGAAACCAGTCTAAAACCATTTAGAGAATTTTCCACACTTTGATGTCTTAACATGGAGTTCATGGATGGGCTTAAGGGCAACCACAAATGAAATTACATAGAATATTTGTGCATATGTACATTTTGTGGGGAGATGATCCATTGTTTTGCTTCTTAAAGGGCTTAAGCACCACTCTGAATTCAGAGGTGGGGCAAAGGGAATGTGCTATAGACTGGAAGGTGTGTCCCACCCAAATTCACGTTGCTATCCTAGTCCCTTATGTGATGTCTTCAGGAGGTGGGACTTTGGAGGTAACTAGGTCATGAAGGTGAAGCTCTCAGGAATGGGATTAGTGCCCTCATAAGAAGAGACATGAGAGAACTCTCTTGCCCCTTCTGCCATACAAAGTCACAGCAGGATGCTGTCCTGCTTTGTCACACAGCCATTTATGAATTAGGGTGCAGTTCCTCACAAGACATCAAATCTGCTGTCATCTTGATCTTGGGCTTCTCAGACTCCAGAATTATCAGAAATAAAATTCTGCTGTTTATAAGGCATCCAGTCTGTAATGTTCTGTTATAGCTACCTGATCAGACTAAGAAAGGATATTGTAGCATTTTTGTGCTTGCTCAGCCAAGGACATAGGCATGGTCAGAGCTGTGTGCTTACCCTTTTCATTTTGGAGGTTCTGTCTCCAGAATTATGAGACATGTCTCAGTTTGGCCATGGTGACACAGGTAAGCTCTGGGGCTTCCTCAGGCATGCTATTGTCATCTCTTCCAACTTATTAATGGACTTTTTGGAATATCTAGAGGCTGTGCATAGAAGCTGGACAGTATCTTTACTGAACACACTTCCAGGTACTAGAGATGAACTCGTGTATATGTGTTTGTGTGTGTGTGTGTGTCTTGGTGCCTAAAAAGTGATAGCTATTGAAAAAAATGTGTATCGAGCAAATGAATGAATAAAACAAATGTCAAAATGAATGAATGACCAAATAATTAAAATGATATGTAACTTAACTTATTGAATGAAGTTCCTGCTTGGTTCAAGCAGAAAATTGGGGAAGGAAATTTTAAAAAATTGGACAAATAAATAAAAATTGTATTTATGATGTGTAACATGATGCTTTGATATATGCACACATGTGGCATGGCTAAATCAAGCTAATTAACATATGCATTGCCTCACATACTTATCATTTTTTTTTTGTCTGTTCCCACTGTGCTCCCCTGCAGAGCAGGAGAAAGAAACCCAGACTGCTCATCAGTGATTTTGTCTGTGTTCTCATAAAACCTTTGGAGAAATGGTAATTTTTCTGTTTTTAAAATTTCAGCCATCCAACTTGATAAAGTCAATCTTCAAGTGTATTGTGCATGGTCTCTTCTGGATAACTTTGAGTGGAACCAAGGATACAGCAGCCGGTTTGGTCTCTTCCACGTTGATTTTGAAGACCCAGCTAGACCTCGAGTCCCTTATACGTCAGCCAAGGAGTATGCGAAGATCATCAGAAACAACGGCCTGGAAGGGCATCTATAGGAAAGATGGCTAGAAAATACTACCTGGGGAAGAGGCCTCTGCTTTGGGGGAAAAACATCTGCTTTGGTGATGGTCTCTCAGGAAAACGTAGTTGCTTCTCTAATCAACAGCTTGTACCAGTGGATCTGTGATTATGAAGTCTGAATATGTGATGCCTGGTGATGTATTTAATAATGGTCTTTATTTGTATCTGGATCAATGAACTTTTAAAAAAAAGTAGAAGAGAAAACCACTAAAATTGATTTTTGTGTTAAAAAATCAGACTTAGAAACAAACTCAAATCCTTAGACATTTTCCTGGACAAAAACAATGCAAAATTTATAAAGATAATATGCTCATGATTTGCAAATGTAACAAATTACTTATTATAAGAATAATTGGTAATTAATGTACTTATTTTGTTTACATAAGCTACTTTTGCTTAGTAGATCCACTGTTATGTGATCCATAATTTTTTCTACTACCTAATCTAGCATTAAAAAATCAAAGTTAAAAGTTAGTCACATTATATACTTATGCGGTTTTTTAACAAAAGAGTTAATTGGTAATCTATTTGATATAATGTATTTGTTAATATATTTGGTTTATATTTTATGTATGCATCAACAAATGTATCCTTCTCTTACACAATGAAATTTTGAAAAATAATAAAATAATTGAATAAATTAGACTTAGTATGACAGAGAAAGCATTTATGTCTTGATATTCAGGAAAAAAAAAGACAGGTTCTTCCTGCAGAGTGACACCAAATTAAAAGTCAGTTATAAGCAGGACATGGTCTCTACCTTTGGGCAGCTCTTTAAATTTTAAACCCATTCTACTAAGTGAAGTATCCCAAGAATGGAAAAATAAGCACCACATGTGCTCATCAGCAAATTGGTATTAACTGATCAACACCTAAGTGGACATATAGGAATAACATTTATCGGGCAGATGGGAGGGGGAAGGAGGAGATGGGTATATACATACATAATGAGTGCAATGCACACTGTCTGGGAATGGACATGCTTGAAGCTCTGACTTGGGGGGCTAGGGGGGAAGGGCAACACACGTAACCTAAACATTTGTACCCCCATAATATGCTGAAATAAATTTAAAAAAAGAACCTCATGAAAAAATACATGAATTGAATGACAACCGAAGTGTAAGCAAAGGTGGGGTGTGCATTCATTACATTAGCAGTTGAAACGTCTGAGATACATTGTGGGGTTGATTGGAATTGGAATTGTTACTGAGCTTCCTCAGTTGAGGTCAAGAATAGATTCAGGGCTACCTCTGAACTCCATGTCTCCCCTCCAGCAAATCTCTAACACATATGGAGTTTGCTCACATCCATATTTTGTAGTATTTCCTAAACAGTCATTTATGAATCAGCCTTGAAGCTAAGAGGTAAGTATTGTTATCTGCATTTTGCAGACTGGGAAACTGAGTCCATACTCACGTGCACCTTTTCAAGTCATATTAGTATTTATTAACTGGATCTGGCACTTCCTTGGCATTAGCCTCATTCTCACACTGTAGCATATCATAGGTTGAGGTGCCATGGAAGTCTTCTCGACATTTTTTGGAGAGGAAAAAAGAAGTAAAGGTGTGGGATTGCCTTATGCAGCAGGAAGCAGGGAAAGAGGTTTTCTGTATTCTCACTCTGCTTCTCTGAGGAAACTGCACATACTTTTGGCATTCTTGTAAGGCTTTTGGCCCTGAGCAGATGCTATGTCATTTTTTCTTTTATAAACTGTGGTCAATTTCTGGATCGTTTTCATGTTCATAATCAGAGAATTATTTACAGCAAAGAACACACTCTCAGTAACTTTGGACGGAGTGTGAAAGAAATGGTTGTAGTAGTTCAATAAATGTGGCTACACTGGGGAAAATTATATTAAGATTAAAATGGTATACAGAGGAAATTCTATTACATCTTTGCCACTGGTTTGTTATTTTTATTGTTCAATGAGACATTATCTCACAATTTGTGTTCATTTAAGAAGCACATTTCCAAATCTTATTTCATTCCTCTCCTATCCAGCCTGTCTTTTTCATTTTTACCATGTATCTTATTTACAATTTATGTGCCTTCTTATATTATCTTGCAAGACAACTGAGTTTTCCTTTTAATTAGGATGTTGCTTTGAATATTATTTATCCTACAGGGCATATTTATAAGTTTTACAACAATACAAATGAGCACTGTATTTTCGTTACCAAAACCGGAAAATTAATATTCACGTAGTAAATAAAACTATCTGTCATGTTTGGTCTACCAGGTGAAATAAACATTCTAGCTCAGGAAGCACCTGCGCTTCCTCACTGCGCTGTGGACTTCTGCAGTTCTTTTGCTGGGTTTTAAAGGCCAGCTCTTGTCCCAGAGATGGATCATACAAAGGGTGCTTCCCTAATTGGTCTTGTAAATTAGTATTGCCATGAGGTTAAGGTGAAGGGAAAAAAAAAACAAAAACCTCACCAACAAAAAACCCTAAGAGCTCTTGCTGTATTTCAATTAATGTTATTTTTAATTGCTTGTATTAGCATTTGAGAACAAGATTGATTGGCTTTTGAATGTCAAGGAAACAGAACTTGAATTCTTAAAATGGAAAAATAAGAGTTGTCAATTATACTTAAAACTCCATAGCTACTGTACTTAGATGTCTTGAAGGTCATGTGAGGCTTGTAAAGCACATGCTTTATGTCTATGTTATCTAAAAGGAAACTGGGATATCACAATGATGGATTGGATCTACTTGTATTTCTTTCTTCTATTACTTCCTTCCTTTTTTTTTTTCTGTAAGGAGAGTATGAACACATGTTATTTATACTCTGGGAATCATTTTTAAAAGAATTGTTTTTTTCTTTTCTTTCTTGATAGTTTTTATTTTAGGGCAAGTCATTTCTGAATTGCTAAAAACATACATAAAATAACAGTAGTCCCATTTCTTTTTTGAATGTGTAGGGCTTTAGCTTTATAACCAAGAGTTATACTAGAAGTTATACTACGAATTCCAGGAGGAATTGTCCACCTAGGCCCTTTATTGGATGAGAAGTTACAAATTCTCATTAAGAAACCCGTAAACTAAGAAGCTGGCAACCTTGGTATTTGGCAGGAGAGTGCTAGTTAGGTTTTCATGTTCTGGGAATTTGTGTTTGGCCTGTAGCTTTTAATTATTTTTATGAACTAGGGAATAATGAATACATTTGTAATATATTAAAAAAATCCCCAACACTGACTGACCAAAAAGTAGATTTATATGATAATTCTTAAACACCAATTCTATTACTCAGTGCTAGGCAGAATGAAAATAGAATACTGAACTTTATTACTGAGAGAGAGATCAGAGTATAATCAAAGCTGATGGAAATAATACTGTTTAATTACCAGCAATACACCTTACCTAGAGAGTGCATATTCATCACTGATCACAATATTTCAGGCTTTAGTTGTCCTGGAGGAATATAGCACAGAGCACAATGCATGATAAGCCTTAAAGAATGACATTTTTTTTAAAAAATTGACATAGACCCTTTATGGTGGCCTTTAAAAATATGGGTTATGCTGATGGGAAGGGAAAGTCAACCTTGTTCACGGAGGCAATAGGTGAGATGGGGAGCTGGGGTCGTGGTGCCAGGTTAGGGTCATGGGGAAGAGAGTAGACAGGGCCTGTTGTCCCAGGCTTTGCCAATGTCTGAATATGTTACCTGACTGAGGATCACCTTAAGTGATTGCACCTGAGGGGCTGTTGGCATCTGGTGTCAGACAAGTATAAGTGTCATTATTTAGAGGGTGGGCTCTGCAGCCACTTTCACTTCAATTTAAATCCTGGCTCTGATGGTTCCCAGCCAAGTGACATTACGTAACTTAGTGAAGTTCTCTGTGCCTCAGTTTCCCCATCTGTAAAATGGGATAGCCTTCCTCACAGGCTGTGGGGAGAGTTAACCAAATAAGCTGATAGATATAACACATTAAGAGAAGTTTCTGAAGCGTGGTAAAGGCACAGTTGGCCTGAGTCATTATTTTTAACTTTCAAATTTGTCCACACTGAGCTTCCAGAAATGCACCAATTATAACTTTAGGTTTTTCCGTTCTGGGGCTAACTCTAGTTCCCACAGTGCGTTTGTGAGTTTCTGCTCTAGTAATCTGGGATTCACTGTTTTGCCTTTCTGTCGCTCCCATTTCTGTGGCAGTGGTTTTTTCCTGTGATCTCAATTCTCTGGCAGATCTAAAAAGAGATGTTAATTTTCAGTTTGTTTGGCTCTTTTGCTTGTTGTCAAGATGGGAGTGACAACTTCCAAGCTCCTCAAGCGCTAGACCAGACACTGGAAGATGCTATTATTTTTATCATTAGAGTTGAAAGTGTCCAGGAGGTGAGTCAGTACATACTGATTAAACTCAACTGTGCAATATTTTATAGAGATACAGTAGTACAGATAAGATGTACTACTGAGCCTCCAAAGAGGCTCATGAACTAGTTTGGAAACTAGAATAGAGACTGAAATGATAGCAAATGATGTTGGGTGAATTTCTAGAGAATAAGTTGTACAGTTATGTGCTGCATAACAATGTTCCAGTCAATAATGGGCCACTTATACAATGGTGGTCCCATAAGATTATAATGGAACTAAAAATACCTATTGCCTAGTAACACCGTAGCCATCATAACATTGTAGCACAACACATTACTTACCTGTCTGTGATTTACTGGTGAAACCAGACCTACTGTGCTACCAGTAATTTAGAAGTCTAGCACAAACAGCGATGTGCTAGTGCATAATGTACTTGATAGTGATCAAATGGTTATTTTACTGGTTCATGCACTTATTATACTATACTTTTTTACCATTACTTTAGAGTGTGCTCTTTCTACTTATATAAAAAGACTTAACTGTGAAACAGCCTCAAGCAGGTCCTTAAGGAGGTGTTCTAGAAGAAAGCATTGTTATCACAGGAGATGACAGCTCCGAGTGTGTTATTGCCCTGAAGACCCTCCAATGGGACAAGTTGTGGAGGTGGGAGACAGTGATATTGATGATCCTGAGCCTGGTTAGGTCTAGGCTAGTGTGTGTGTTTGGGTAGTGCTTTGTAACAAAATACTTAAAAATGAAAAAAATTAAAAATAGAGAAAAGCTTATAGAATAAGGACAAAAAGAAAACAAATCTGTACAGCTGTAAAATGTGTTTGTGTTTTCAACTAAGTGGTATTACAAGAGTCAAAGAGTTTAAGAAAATTCAAAAGTTTACAAAATAAAAAAATAATAGTGAGATAAGCTTTCTTGAAGAAAGAACTTTTAAAATAAATTTGGTATAGCCGAAGAATACAGTGTTTATAAAGTCTACAGTAGAGTGCAGTAATGTCCTAGACCTTCACATTCACTCGCCAGTCACTGACTCACCCAGAGCAATTTCAGTCCTGCAAGCTCCATTCATGGTAAGTGGCCGATACAGCTGTACCATTTTTTTTTATTTTTATACCATATTTTTACTGTACCTTGTCTATATTTAGATATGTTTAGACATACAAATACTTGCCACTGTGTTACAATTGCCTGGAGTATTCAGTAGAGTGACATGCTGTACAGGTTTGTAGCCTAGGAGCAGTAGGCTGTACCATACAGCCTAGATGTGCAGCAGGCTACACCATCTAGGTTTGTGAGAGTACACTCTGTGATGTTCACACAGTGATGAAGCCACCTAA